GCCATTATTCTATGGCTAGAAATTGGCCTCAATGATTTGGGATCGAGGGGGATTATCCCTCTTTATCCTGCCTCATCTCGTGTAGGCCTGGACAGCCTTCGTAGGTGGGCCCCATCCGTCGTCTACCCCGACCGCAAATGCGACCGGTGTAGGCGCTTTGTGGGACCTCCTTTTGTCGTGGCTGGGCCCCGCCGGCTAGGGCCCTTTCTTCTGGCGCTCTTCTTGCTTCGCCGGCTCGTCTGTGTAAACCCCGGGGGTGGTGTGTCATGTTTCTGTGTGGTATGGTTGGGTAGGGTAGTGCGGCTAAGCAGCCTGGGATGCGCTTTGCTAAGGTGTTATTTATGCTGTGGTGGTGGCAACTTATAATTTATAATTATGTTTTGTCGTGGCAGGTCGTGACACTTCTGTTTTCTGTTAGTAATCTGTGGTGGCAACACTGCGTCAACTGTTTGACAGTTTGACATTGACATTTTGTTTTTATTTGTTGAAAATTTGTTTATATGAATAAATTTGATTATTACGTATAATTTGTTGGAATGGAGGATATTGAATGGAATGTTGTTAACGAAGGACAATTACTAGATGCTATGGTTGGACATAAACCTGTAGGTAAGTAGCAAGGTTATCATTTTTATGAACATAACCAAATATAAACTATATAGTATATTCGCATTCTTTTTAAACAGTAATTCAAATTATATTTATAGTGTAGCTGAATCAGAAATGTAAAATTATATTGTTTACAGAACTTGATATGTTAGGAATGTAAATTAGTTACTGCACAAATGCATCATCAAAAGTGTGAATATAAAGTCGGGTATTAGTATAGGTAATAATTAAAAATAATTACGACAAATAAAAATTTGTCGTCATTCTGCAGATCAGTTTTTTAATTATTTAAATTTTTGAGTTTTTTTTTAGGTGTGAACAAATATTTTCAGATGGCATTTATATGTGACAAATTTACAGAAAGTTTGCATAAAGACGTTGATCCGGAGAAAATTTGGGCACATTTAGAAACAATGTACAATCTCGAGGTCCTTGATGAAAGTGAATCTATACCTTTTCCAAACAGTGAACGTGAATTTAATCTACCAGAATCTGATTTTGGTAGTTTAATAAATAAAAAGGATGAGGAAAAATCTAAAAGTCAAGTACAGAAAGGAGACAAGGAGACACCGAAGCTCGTAAAAGAATTAAAAAAAGAAGAAAAAACACCAGTAAGAAATCAAAAAGAAAGGAGAGATAGTAAGGAAGGAAAGGATAATAATAAAACTCCAACAGTTGCAAAGAAAGAAATAAAAAAGGAGCCAGAAAAAAATAAACTATCGATTAAGGGACGAAACTCAAATGTAACACCAAAAGATGACAATAAAGGTGCAAAAAATAAAAATGAAGATACTCCCAAACCAACAAAGAGACCAACAAGAGGTAGTTTGAAACCAAATGATGATTCGGGCTCTAGTGGAAAATCAAGCCCTGTTACCATTACACCGTCAAACACAAAAAGAAGACGCATTTAAGATGTTTGGCCAAATGAATCAAAACCAAATCCAATTAATGTATATATGTTAATGTTATGCTTGGTATCTAGTAAAGAATGTGATAGACTTCAAGAGCTTTGAGACTTTGGACAAAATAAACCAATGGGAATCAAGTTGGCTTAGTACAGCTTTGCTTCCTTGAAAAGTTAAGCGTCTTGTGTGTTTTAGATAAAAAAATAGTCATATTCATACTGCCCAAAAAAAAACTATAACAGACATCTTGAAAAAATGAAATTAAAAAAATTTTTTTTGAGGGCCCATAACTTTTTGAGAAAGCAAAGTTCTACGAAATTAACTTGTTCTAAGTCGGTTTATACTACTCTTGAAGTACGTCACATTCTTTACTGTACACCCTGTATAAGGCAAAAATTTTATATCAAAATTGGTTTTTATCAGTTTTGAAAGAAAAAGAAGTTGATTTATATTTTTATATAAAGACGCCAGAAGCAAACTGTTAAATGCTAAATATGCAAAATGTAAGGAAAAAAGAATTATTTTGCATCCGGTTATTTATTCCACAAAATATTGGTTTGGTTATTAGTTATTTGTCAGTACTATTATTAGTTACCTAAATAATATTTCATTTTTACCTTGTTACTATATAAATGTATATTGACAGTTATGTTTTCAAGCTTCTTACATGACATAAGATTAACAAGTTCAGAATAATGTTTTATTTATAGTTCCTTAAAATAAGTGAACAATCTTTAAATGTAACAAATCAAAAAATAGTTATTTTGAAGTTTTTGTACAAAAAATAAATTCTGATTTATTTCTTAAAAAGTTTTTGTAGCTTGTAACGCATGTCCACATCAGTTGATTAATTTGGTATATGTAGTGCATTAATTTTTTTCCATTCATTTGATACATCCTCTCCCTTCTGGTATCCATGTTTGTAGCATTTTTTATTACTTGATATTTGCCATATCTAACTATCTATAGATCAGATTTTCTTGACTCGAAATAATTATTCAATTTATTCTTGTTCTGAATATATTTTTGGATGTCATGGATATAGCAGTGTTTCTTTTAGATTATCGATCGCAATTTTTTTAAAATGCACATTTTTGGTATCCTCAATTGACTGATTGTAAAATAATTTGCTTTTCAAGACATGAGACGATGCAATATTTCGAAACAAGTTGAATATACAGGGTACCTAACTGTTGCTTTGAAGAAAGTATTAAAATGTTTATTAAAAAGAGTCGGAACAATTCTTTTATTTTTTTTATTTGAAATTTTGACAAGGTTAGTTAATATTTTCTTTATTAAATTTAATTAATTAAATATGATATTGTAAGCTAAAGAGATTAACTCTGGTGTTGATATAAAAACGAATCGCAACATTCTACTAACTATTGAGGATGAAATTGAATCTTAAAGAAAAATGGACTAACCTTGATACAAAATACTAAAAATTACCATTTATTCATAAGTGTATCAGCAATACTTGGAAAACATTAAAATAATAGTTTAGATAGGTTACCGCCAATAGTTACAAGTATATAAAAACTGTCAATACACAGGGTGTTAATTAAGTATGTACAGTAAATTCAACAGACGATTATTTGAGTGATTTTAAGACAAAAAGTTCATATAAATATTGGTCCGCAGATGCTTCCTTTTCAAGATACAGGGTGTTAAGCTTTTGTAAAAAAATTGCTATTTTGTAAATATCTTAAATACCCTTTACATGTTACATGTTATTAATAAAAAATTATAATTTCCATAAGAAACTTTTCCCCATGTTTCTTGTGTCCAGGGATATGCAATTAGTGGATTTTATTTTTTTACAAAAATTAATCAAGATATGAAAAACATTCAAGAGACAAAAGAGTTGTATTTTTAGTTGCTTAATTCAAAAAATATATAAAAATTATAAAAAAGTCAGTGGCATACATTTTTTTTGTCAAAAATATTCCTTAAGGTACCGCTCGGGACACCACTGGACTTAATAAATCTAATCAAGTTAAGATTAAATTAGCCCCTTTATCACTACAAATAACACTGCCAAGATATTTATGAAATGGCAATTTTTTTACAAAAGTTTTAACACCCTGTATCTTCAAAACGAAGCATCTGTGGACCAATGTTTATATGAACTTTTAGTCTTAAAATCACTCAAATAATCGTCTTGAAATTATTGTAGGTACATATTTAATTAACACCCTGTATATTGGGTCTGGATCCACCGTAAATGTTTCCAAGACAAAAATATATGCAGTTATAATACATATCATATACACAGGGAGCTTATCTTGTAGTTTTCTTATTTTGTACTGATCGTAGCTATAATAATTCATTATAACATGTATTTAAACATATACTTGTGTTCAGAAAGCAAATTCTGCGAAAATTCGTTAAATAAACACTTATGGCTATATTTTTATGAATTTCATAATCAGTAAGTGATCAAGATGATTCTTTGAGTGATTTTATTTTATTTGAAAAAAAAAATCTTTCGATACAATTGCAATTGAAAAATTCGAGAAACTATGGCACAATTTTATTTTCCAAGCGAACCCCTTGCTACCTTTTTAACAAAGGTACAAAATTTTACACCAGTGATTTTTTTTTGGATATGTCTAAATTAGTTTGTAATTTAAATTTTATTTCTATAAAAAAATCTGATGATCTTGATGTTTATTGAAAAATAAATAAAAAGAAAAATGATTAGTATTTCGAATATAATGAGATATCTTTTTTTTCTGCAAACACCACAAGGAGTTACAGGTCGAGACTGAATTTTCAAAATACCCAGTGGTGTTGAATTTTTTAAGTTTTCAATGAGTATTTCTGCCACAATCATAATTGTAAACTTCATCATTCTATATCTCTAGAGATATTTTAGTCGGTATCTCGAAATTTATGGCAATATAACTTTTTTGGCTTAAAATCACTTAAAGAATCACTCCTTAAAGTTTGTCTTACCCTGTATAATGACAAAATTAGCCTACAGATAGTGCAAACCCTTTTGGACCCGTTTCACAAAGTATGTGTAACCTGTAACCAATAAAGTGCCTCTAATAAAAAGTATTATTTTACTTCACTCTTTCATTTGCTCCAAAATATTTAAAGGAATTAATGACATCCTCAATATACAGGGTGTCCCGAAATTAGGGAGCAATATTTCTATGGGGTGTTCTATATCGAAAAAGATTACTTTTTCTTTATATAACCGTGGGTTCAAAAGTTCTTCTTAAGGAAGTTATAGCCACTTAAAGGGGCCATTCTGATGATGGTTTTTTCTAAATAACTCCGAAACCAGTTGAGATAAATTTATGAAATTTGGTAACGATCTTAACCCTTACGAGGTCAGTCCGCTACTAAAACGAAATTTACAAATTTTCATCACATACGTTCCAACACAGGGGGAGGGGGGGAAAATTTGCCATAACTTTTTTGTGCTTTGGCTTTTGACTGAAAAGGATGAAATTTCAGGGTTTTCTAGTAAAAAAGATACTCTTGATCCATAATGGTAGAATGTTCCATTTTTGTGTAAAATCCGTTTAAAAATAATGTTACATGTGTATCCGGGAATCGAAATTGTCAATATTTTCTATCGTAGCGGGTTGTCAAGAACAAAAACGCGTTTGGCGTCATTTGCATTAATAGTTCAGTTATTTACTTTTTTCGAATTGTTATTTTCACAGAGATTTATTATTTTTAGTAAATTATTATTTGACAAAGTAAAAAAAAACAATTGAAATTATTAAATAGTAATATGTACAATAAACTAATAAAAATAAATGAAAACCACACTATTAATAAAACTTATCTTTATCTCAATAGTAATTTTTATAGCAAATGCTCAAAAAGATTTCCATTTTGCTGAATACATTTTTCAGCTCGATGTCGAATTGCCTGCGGAGACCTCAAAATGTCAAAATTATTTTATCTGATTTGATTCACAGCCAAATGAATCCTCTGTAATTCTTCCACAGGATTTACTGTAGCGTAAACTACAGCCTTCATCCTACTCCACAAAAAGTAATCTAGAGAATTTAGGTCTAGAGATCGAGGTGGCCATGGAATGGGGTCACCTCTACCTATCCACCTGCCAGGAAAATGATCGTTTAACCAATTCATGACATTATGGGTAAAGTGAGGTGCCCTGTCTTGTTGATAGTGTAACGTTAAGCGTACGTTTAACGGAATATCATCCAATAGTTCTCTTACATCATTTTGCAGAAAGTTTAAGTATCCTTCTGCATTCAGACAAACGGGAAACTGAATTAGTCCAAGTAGCTGGTCCCCTAAAATTCCTGTCCACACATTTATTGCAAATCCATTTTAATTTGTGCGCCTTATTGCCTGTGGCCTACATTCCTAAAATGTTGCATTTTCGACTGATAATAATTCGCAAAAAGTAAATAACTGAACTGTCAATGCAAATTACGCCAAACACGTTTTTGATATTCAAAACCTGCGACGATAAAAAATATTGACAATTTCGACTCTCAGTGACACATGTAACATTATTTTTAAACGGATTTTACACAAAAATTGAACATTCTACCAATTAGAACTTTTCAGCCAAGTCAAAGCACAAAAAAGTTATGGCAAATTTTACCCCCTCCCCCCTGTCGGAACGTATATGCTGAAAATTTGTACATTTTGTTTTAGTAGTAAGAGTTCAGCTAGTTACTAAATTTTATAAATTTATCCCTACTGGTTTCGGAGTTATTTACAAAAAAACATCATCATAGTGGCCCCTTTAAGTGGCTATAACTTCCTTAGGAAGAATTTTTGGACCCACGCTTATATAAAGAAAAAGTAATCTTTTTCGACATAGAATACCCCGTAGAAATATTGCCCCCTAATTTCGAGACACCCTGTATAAGAAATAAAAAACAATTTAACAAAAACAAATTTATTAGAACAGCATCACAATTCTACCTCTCTAATCTACAGAAGAATGCATGTTTCGAATCATTTACATCATTCCGAAAATATTTGTCATAAAAATCCAGTTCCACATTTTCAACTTTAAATCCAAATTTTTGATATAGGAAGAGTGCCGGATTGTTTATTGATACATGTAGTGTAATGTCCTTCCCTAGGCTTGTCTAAAATTAATAGAATTTATAATGAAACTTTAAGTTTTAATTGTTATTTTAACTATTAAAATATTAAAAACAACAAAGAATTTTAAGATTTTTGCATATGTTAAATGAACTTACTTGAATTAAATGATATACCATAAAAGTAGCAATACCACAATTTCTCCAATTTGGTCTAGTGAATACGAAAGATATATAATTTTCGGTATGTTTTACATCGGGTACAAGGAATGCAAACCCTATTATGAGTCTTTTATATAGTACAACACAACTGAAATCTGGATACTGTAATGTTTCTGTAACTGAAAATATTCAATATTAAATCAGTATCGTAGCCGGGGACCGCCTAGCCAGGTGTCTTGGTCGGCGGATTTCGATCTGCCGAGGCAAGCATCACGGACACAGGCTGGAATTTGGATGAGTGACCTAAGGCAGGCTCGGGGACGTGGCTGTGGCAGCCTACCAGAGACCTGGGTTGCCCAACATTTGCCGCATGCCTGTGGTCCCCGATAAATGGTAATGAGAACAAAGCAAAGAAAATCTCTGTAACTCAGGACCATGCTATCATACATAAACTGTACGAGACTTTGCCACCAAGCCACCCGTGTAGTAAATAGGATGGTTTGAAGAAAAGTACTCGAGTAATGAAGGAGGGTGTACAAGGGGCCTAATAAGGCCTAAGTGCTGCGGTGGAAAAACAATTCCACCACCCTCAGACATACATACATACATACAGTATCATAGCCAGAAAAGGTTTGTGGAACGAAAATGTAAAAGAGAGACGAAGTCTTTTATAACAACCAAAAGATAACATTTTTCATGTTGAATTGGAAATAAATTATTTTCCTGGCAGCTTCAAAGACCATGGGGAGCCCACAGTACTTCATCCTCCCCCTGGTGCACCACTAATTGAAATTATTATTTTTTTCTATTTAGCAACTCAATTTTCTTTAGTTTCTATTTAAATTTTAATACTAGCATTCTACATATTTTCTATTTTCTTCATACATTGTAACTTTTAAGAAAAATTAAAATTTTTTGACAAATAAACCTGTTTGAATCTATCGATAAAAAAAAATGTATTTGTGAACTTACAAGGCGTTGCCAGTATTAATCGGAAAACCGCCAGGTGGCAGAATAAATATGTATTTTGTAGCAAAAAGTTTTACAAGAACTGGCGCAGCTTTCCGTTTTTGAGATGCAAGGTGTTGAAAAACTATCACATTTTCTCAAATATCTAAGATGTTTGCGCAGATCAATGAAACTTGCATAAAAATTTTATATCTTTTATAACTGCATAAATTTGTAGTCTATAATCGACAACAACAGTGGTAAAATAATTAATTTCTTTATTGCTATAAATTAATTATAGATGCTTAAGTATATGTAAAAATTTAAATTTGGTCACGTGATCAAGAAGAATTGTGATTTCATTTATATAGTGGGACTGAGAACACAACTTCCTTCTCGTCTGTTTGCAATGAGATATACGACACCTTGTAAGATATTACCATAAAGTAAAATAATATGGCAAGACTTGACCCATATTTTTTTATTTTTGCAAGATATTACCTAGCTGGCATTTAAAAAATTTAATATCTTTAAAATAGAGTAAAAAATACAAGAGCCAATAACAAAATGTCACAATTTCAAAAAAAAAATCACTGCCATATAATTGCAGAATTTCCTGAAGGTACAGGGTGATTCACTATATTTTGCCCCCCCTCTAACTTTTTTATTTTAAGAGTTATAAAAAAAATGTGAAATACAAAAGTTGCATGATTTTTTATAAATTTTTCGAAAATGATATTTGAAAAACAAATGAAGTCCAAACAATATGGCCGCTGATGCCACATTGTTAATTTAAATGGAACACCCTGTATATTTTTACATATTTGGATAGAACGTTCCCTGTCGAGCATAGTTGTATAAGGTTTGTTGGGTCCATCTCTAACAATAAAACCTTTTCGTTTTTTAATAGTAGCTCGCTTATTGTTAGAGATAGACCCAACAAACCCCAAATGACTGTGCTCGACAGGGAACGTTCTATCCAAATATGTAAAAATATACAGGGTGTTCTATTTAAATTAACAATGTTAACATCAGCGGCCATTTTGTTTGGACTTCAATTGTTTTTCTATTATTTTCGAAAAATTCATAGAAAATCGTGCAAAATTTATATTTCACATTTTTTTTATAACTCTTAAAACAAAAAAGTTAAAGGAGGGGTCAAAATATAGTGAATCACCCTGTACAGTTAAAAGAAACACCGATGATTGTTGAAACTTATGACGTACATTATTTAACATCCCTATTCTAAGAACAAAAAATCTCATGGATAGTTTTACAGTTTTAGTTATTTTCAATTTATTCAAGTTTTCAGTGATGTTGAAATTCTGAGATGTACCAAACCCGTATCTCCACTACTGATTAACATATCTGTATGCCAACTCGGCATATATTTACTTCAAATTAAATAAATCATTAATCTAGTGCAACTTCATTTCATTCATCAATATAAGATAATAAAGATTCTATGTATCACTAGACATTGGCAAAAATTTAACTGTTAAGGCTGACATTTTATATACAAGAAGAACAAGAACATCCATCTAAACTATAAAAATGTTGAAATACGAGTATTCCTTTAATTTTTCGCAGGGAAAGATCACAGAAAGCATGGGCAACTATGTAAACAACAGAATGTACCTTTCCCGTTTTGTGGAGAATTTTGTAAAAAATACGCAATAATTGTGATTAATTCATGTGTTAATAATTTCATAAAGGCATTCTACAGAGTGTGATTAAGTTTTTAGTAACATACACGATTTTCTGTATATTCAACAGGCGTGTGAAGTTCAGAAAATGTAATGAGAAACATAAGTAAAAATATGCTTTTTTCCCGATTCTGTTAGTTTGTAAACTGTCTTATACTCTGGAGAAAACTTGTACAACTGGAACAGTGAAGAGATATTGTTTCTAACTTGTTTAGATTTTCTAAAACTCTTGTCAAAAGACTGGCTACACTGAAAATTATGCATAAAAATGACCCTTTTAAGAACTTTTAAACTGTGCTCAGAGCTCAAAGTTGAGATTTGTATTGTGTACCTCCCTATGATAATAGTTGACAGCGAGCTTTGTTCTTCAACATTGAAAGGATAAGAAATAGTGACGCAAGATGTGTTAAATGTTTAGCTATGCTCAGTATAGAAAAATTGTTCATAAAGCAGATAAATGACTTCAAACACAAAATTATTGACCAACTGCCATCCTAAAAAATAAATAATAAAATATGATATATATTTTTATTTCATCTGCTTGTACATTGAAAACAAATTATGTTGTAAATTTTATTAAAATTTGCATTTTGAAAGTTTTCTCTGTGGAACCAGAAATCATCCCCTAAATGAACTGATACTTACGATCTATTCCTGGCCAAAAAAACTGATTACAAAGACTGTTTATCGCTGGAATATGTTCTGGCTGAACATATGAATAATCTATCGGAGCTCTAGGAGGTAGTTCGTAATTACCATTTTTTCGATTGGCTACAATTTGCAATTCTGCCATTAACTGTAACCACAAGGGAGTAGTTTCTGTGTCTCTTTGAATGAAAGGCTTGAGATATAACGCACTATAAGGAGATAAAATTTGTTCTTTCCTTATGCCTCCCGTTAGTTTAAACTGCATCCTTTGCCCCTTTATGCGAGATATATCTAATTAGTTAAAAACAGTTAGATGTTAAAACATTTCTTTGTTTTACATACTTACTATTTATTGACGTATTATAATGGCAATACGGATCTAGCAGTTTGACGCAGTTTGTTCTTTTCTCGGGTTCGCTCTTATGAACTACATTTTGTGATTGTGATTGTTCCTGGAAATCTGTGATATCGAAATCTGTTGTTAGTTCGTCAGTCGAAGAAGAAGTTGCTGAAGAACTTGCTAATTTCATCAACCTAAAAGCATAGTTTAAAATATAAAAGCTGCACAAAACTTACAAAATAATAACGTTTAAATAAAACATACTTTTTAGATGTATTTCCTATACTTGGTAAATTGATTTTTCTTTTATTTCCACTCCCTGCCTTCTGTTTAGTGTTCTGAAAATGAATTATCAATTTGTTGAATTAATATCTTAATATTGTGCTACCTTCTTAAAGTCGGTAAGTAATGTAATATCTTCTTTTCCATCAGCACTATGCATATTGCTAATATTAAAGGATTGAATTAGATCATCATCTTTAATATATGTTGATAAAATACCCTGAAACATTTCTGCATCAGGTACTGATATTTTCTCATTTTTCATTTTCCCCTTTTGTTTTTCCAAGTTCATTAATGTATCTAAAACAATGTAAAATATTGGAATGACAAGGTGATGTCTTTAAACCAATTTAAGATAAAAGTATGTAGACACTATTAGAAAATGCACGCTTTTATTAAAGTTAATTGAAAATTAAAAAATTATAAAGGTATTATCGATCTTACATAGATGTGATGTGACTAAAGGGCTGAGTTTAGGGTACATTAAAGTCCACCATGCTGGTTCATTAAAAGTTGAAGTTCCCGACAAAAAAATATATGAACTGAAATGTGACAACGTGCCAGCGATAGTGCCTGTCCATTTCTTCTTCTTTTTAATATCACTTGGAAACAGGATCTCCCAATTCCTATCTATAAATGTCGCTACATGGTTTCTCCAATGAAAAAATCCTTTTCTTGCCAATCCTGGACTTTTTGTTTGCAAATGATACAAAACTAAAATTACAATTTGTAACCTAAAAGATAAAAGTTGCAGGAAAGGACTGGTTCCGTTTATATGACTTACCAAGATAATTTGTTCCTTGAAAAAGTTTCGCTTCCTGAGGATGAACATTCACTACAAATAAATGTGAAAAAAAGGTCCCCTTTTAATCCACCAGGCACTGAGCCTCTTTTGAGACATCTAATGTGTACAAAATTTCTACATTCTGTACATTCCAACCCTTCACCAAAACAAATTTCTAAATTCTGAAAACAGTACTTACAAGTCTTTTCTTCTGTGAAAAATTCCATTTAGAATATTGGAAAATGTATAAATTTATAAACAAAATGCACAAATCATGCTTTCTGATCGTTTATAAACAAACAACATAACCTCGAAAGCCATAGAAAATATAGTGTTAATATCTTTTATCTATGGTGTTAATCACAGTGGTATTAATATTAATGACGATTTCGATTTATATGCATTATGAACGTGTAGTGCGCACTGCTATGACGTAAAGTTCGCTACGAGTGCTACAAAGTTTTGCCCGAGACACTCTGAGCATGCAATTAAATCGAACACGCATCAAATTCTAGTGCTCGTGCTCATTTCATAACCTCTGTTTGTATGACTTCTGACTTCGTAATCGTTCAAGAATTGATTCTTGGTAATCGTTAACGCTTTTTTGTGTTCATATATAGGTATCAATTTGTATACTACCATAAAAACGCAAGAATGTGCTTTTCAGCTGATATAGTCTCTTTTCCAAATTTTTTATTTGGGTAAAACACTGATTTTTCAAAATCATCAAATAAAATGTATACAAAGTTTCCCTCCTGTATTATATGTTTTGTGGTTTCCCTATTAAATCTATTTTTTATTTTTTTTTAACTAAAAACAAAACCAATTGGTACATACAAACAGTAGTTAAGTAAGTCTAATTATTTATTTACCACATCTTCCGGATATTGGTGTACCGTAAAATTATTTACTTTTATTTGCTCTCTAGAATTATTAATAACATATTCTTCAGATGAACTCTCTGAAGAAGAAAATACATTATCTAGAAGCAATATATTTAAAAGATCTTCTACTACCGCCATTTTTAACTTGCACTGCACTATTGAACTGACTATTTCGTCAATGCAAGAAAATTTGCATTCTCGCCAAATTCGGTGCGAACTAACTTGTAAATCGAACACATTCGATAGGCAAAGTGTGCACTCAAAAAATAAATCGAAGGCAGAAGTTGTTTACAGTGCGCACTCAGTGCAAAAGTTCATGTAAATCGAAATCGTCATAAGTTTTCTCTGTTTTCTATGCTCGAAACCTTGTAAATTGTCAGCATATTATTACCAGTATCTCTGATCTGATCTCTGCATGTGACTCATTGCTCTTTATTGTGTTAACCTGTAACAAGTTTTTTTCCCCAGAATTCCAGATAGAATACTCCTAAAGTCCGCTCCTTAAACGCGGCCAACATAATTCGTCATAATTTAATTTAATGTAACTATGAAAATATAAATATTTAGGTATTATACCAAGTTCGCTTGGCCTCATGTAACATAACCTAACCTGACTTACATCTATTCTATTTGGGAAAAAATGTGCTAACAAATAACCTTTGAATTTAGGCAAATTTAAAAAAGTAGCTTAGCTTTTTGGTTATTTTACCTTCGTGTTTTAAGTTAAAATTACTGCATAGTACAAACAGCTGGTTTCCAATTGCATGGGAACTGCTCCTGAAATGGTATACTATTGTACTCCTTAAAATACTTTAAATTTAAACAACTAGTTCTCCGAGCGAACATATAAGCATTTAAATATTTTCTATCACGCGCGCTCGCTATGGGACCTATAGTGTAGGGGGTTAGATGCACGGAAAGTGCTAGATAGTACAACAGCGTGATTTATTATGAAAATAACAACACGCTGTTGTACTGTCTAGCACTTTCCGTGCACCTAACCCCCTATGCTATAGGTCCCATAACGACTCGCACTTGTGATAGAAAATAGTATGTGCAACTCGTTCGGAAAAGTTGCCATAGCGCCACTTGGGCGCTTTCCGCACTCGCTTCGCTCGTGCGTCAACTGCGTCCGCGTGGCGCTATTGGCNAAATCGAAGGCAGAAGTTGTTTACAGTGCGCACTCAGTGCAAAAGTTCATGTAAATCGAAATCGTCATAAGTTTTCTCTGTTTTCTATGCTCGAAACCTTGTAAATTGTCAGCATATTATTACCAGTATCTCTGATCTGATCTCTGCATGTGACTCATTGCTCTTTATTGTGTTAACCTGTAACAAGTTTTTTTCCCCAGAATTCCAGATAGAATACTCCTAAAGTCCGCTCCTTAAACGCGGCCAACATAATTCGTCATAATTTAATTTAATGTAACTATGAAAATATAAATATTTAGGTATTATACCAAGTTCGCTTGGCCTCATGTAACATAACCTAACCTGACTTACATCTATTCTATTTGGGAAAAAATGTGCTAACAAATAACCTTTGAATTTAGGCAAATTTAAAAAAGTAGCTTAGCTTTTTGGTTATTTTACCTTCGTGTTTTAAGTTAAAATTACTGCATAGTACAAACAGCTGGTTTCCAATTGCATGGGAACTGCTCCTGAAATGGTATACTATTGTACTCCTTAAAATACTTTAAATTTAAACAACTAGTTCTCCGAGCGAACATATAAGCATTTAAATATTTTCTATCACGCGCGCTCGCTATGGGACCTATAGTGTAGGGGGTTAGATGCACGGAAAGTGCTAGATAGTACAACAGCGTGATTTATTATGAAAATAACAACACGCTGTTGTACTGTCTAGCACTTTCCGTGCACCTAACCCCCTATGCTATAGGTCCCATAACGACTCGCACTTGTGATAGAAACTAGTATGTGCAACTCGTTCGGAAAAGTTGCCATAGCGCCACTTGGGCGCTTTCCGCACTCGCTTCGCTCGTGCGTTAACTCCGTCCGCGTGGCGCTATTGGCATTTGTACTACTTCATATATTTGTTTTTGATATTGCGAGCCTAAATGCCCATGCCCGTAAATAATCTTTATGAAACATATTAAAAAATCCTAATTCTCTTTTGTAAAAGGTGGTACGTGATGGGGGAGTAGGAGAAAATAAAAATAGGAAAAAATGTTCCAGTTTTTGGATCGCAAAACCTAATCTGAAGTGGAAATAAGCAACTCCAATAACTCGTCAGTCATGGAAATACAATTTAAACCTTAGAGCGTATACTACATGGAGGAAGCACGCTTACGGCGACAGTGTAGACGACTAACAGAGAGAGAAAACAAATGATTTGGGTACCATCTTTCTCTCCCGCGTAGGCATGATGTGATTGGCTGACGCAACTCCCTCGTGATGTTCGGATAAAATTAAGGGATAGAGAGCGAGTATCCAAACTATAGCCTTTCTCTACACTTTTTAACAGACGAAAGATACTTCCTCCATGTAGTAGGTATTATATGTATATGCTATAAGATTTAAACCTATTCGAAAAAGAAAAAAATAAGGCGATTTTTTTTCTTATGGATTATGAGCCAAACTTTGTTTTTATTTTTGAGATATAGGGCGCCTGAGGTAATTTTTTTGAATGAATCTTTTTGTCATGTTTTCCAAAAAACAATATAAGTATTGTATTGAAATTAAATATAGTAATACTTGAAAAAATTAGAATATTCAATATCTGCTTTAATAATTTACTACACAAATAAATAAATAATATGTAATTACAAAGTTATACATATACACACATACACAGTTACAAAAATAAATAAATTGTTTTACAGTCATCTGTTCATGTGACCGTAATTTCCTAAAAGAAGATTATTTAAATATATTTTCCTATATAAATTACTAATTTCCGTATTATCCAGAACTTCACTAGAAGACCCATATTTTCCTATCCTATCCTCCCAACCAGGAGCAGTATGGCCTAATTCAAAATGTCCATCTTTGGTCTGATGAACATGTAAGTGCACATTTTGTGGGGAACTCGAACTCTTTTCATGTTTACTGGAAAAGGCGACAGCTAACTTCGTCACGGCTCCACTGACGTTCATGAGTATGAGTAGACCCAAGAGACCCAACGTTTTCAGAGAGAAGATCGTGAGGAAGGCTAGGACGGTTACTATCACTCCCAGCGCAAATATTATTAACGGCATTGCAAATTTCAATTTTCTGGCAACACCAAAACACCTCCCTGAAAATACACATTCATTAATAATACAAACATTTCGATAAAAAGGAGAGACAGCTACAATAGAAATAAAAAACACGGGATGTTTTCTATATGTCTAATATCATAGCCCTTTTCTTTTACTCATGATTTCGGAATCATAACGTGTTACGATCCAATGGAAACCAATCAGATTGCTAGATTTCGGATCGTAACGCGTTATGATTCCGAAATCATGAGTAAAAGAAAACAGCTCATAACTTCAGGTGGCCATTTTGCACCAAAAAGAGTCTAAAGGCCACAATTTTTCGAGATACGATTTGTTGAAATTTAATAAGTCCATATTGATCAAATATCTCTGAAGATAGTTAACATAAATTGAAGAAACGTGAGCTAATAGTTTGCCTTATTAATTCTGAGAATTGGTATGTGAGCCAGTGGTGGTCCTAATATAGATACCTAAAACCTCGAGAATTTGACGCCACTATGTTATTGATAAAAAAAGGGTATCTTATTGGAAAAATATAATTATAAATATACGTATATACAGGGTCTAACTTTAAGTGCCTGTTGTTACCTTTTTAAACCAACTGTATGTAATTAATGCAGTGGCAAAGAGCGAAACTACAATGGAAAATAATTTTATAATGATTGCTTTTGTATCACTAGGTAACAAAACATTTTTGAGTGTTTTAAAAAAAATAATGTTTCTCATGATTCATTAAATATTAACTAATATTGGTATGTGGATAAGTAATAAAACTAATTTATGTTTTAAAATAATTATTTTTGCTGTTTTATAAAAGGTATAAAGAATACTTACTAATCTGGTAATTTGAAATATTTCTTAAAATCATTTCTTTATAATATAAAATATTTGTTACTATTTTTTTAAAACAATCTGACATTAACCCAGTTTAGGTCATCTGAGGTGATATAAATAAAAATTACTTTGTGAAGGACTTATTTTAAGTAATATTTTGAATTTATCCTAAAGATCAGAAAACTGGTTATATTATCTAAAAATAATAGAAAGACGTTAAAGAGAGATGGTGAAATTTATGAAAATGAAGCCTTAAATATAGTGTGTAGGATGGAATGTGTAAAGGAATTGAGTCATCCCTTCTATAATTTGGTAATGTACCTACGTCACCACCAAACACCAGCTTATATTTCAAATATGATGGTTGATTTGAACAAATAATTTTATAAAGCAAAAAATAACGATGAATATCTCTGCGGATATGCATCCTGCCCCTACTATTATTTTTAATTAAGGAATAATACGTTCTTTTCGTTGAATATTTGCTACAAATCACAAGCAAGAATTTTAGATAGTCATAAATGGTTATTAGCATATAAATACATATTTGACAGTAGGTACAACTTTATTGAGATCAGTTGCATACAAAATAAATAACAAACGTCCCAATATGGAGGCTTGTGGAACACCATCTTTTATCGACAGTACATCAGCATGTTTTATCACCATCTGTAATTGAACTTATAACTGTCAATCCATTCCAGAACACTAATAGATATACCGTATTAATTCAACTAATTTATTGATCCATAATGTTTCACAGTATTCCGCAACTGATTGGCAAATTTATATCAGTTTAGCTGCCTGTAATTAGGTAATCTCGAAAACTTGTAGCTTTAGATTCTTGGTTTATAAAGACTTTGATCTAAAATGATCCAAGGAACAACCTCCTGAATTTATGCCCCTCTCGCATTGGATAAACTGCATTAGTTGAAATTAACACAATTATGAAATAGAAGGCTTTCGCTTATACTTACCTATAAAGGAGTCATTATTTTCTTCTCCTATAAATTTTCCTAATAAACTTTTTAGTTTTTGTTCCAATATTTTTAGAAATCTCGCTTTATTTGAAGCCAATTTTGTAACCATAGTAGTATTATTCATTTCGGTCGCAGAAACCCATTGAATAGTTAATAGAATTGTTAAGACTAGAAAAAGAATTAACTTCATTTCTTCTTGTAGAATCTCATAATACCTAAAAAAATATAAAGTACGAAATATATTATCATAATTTCTAAAATAGGTATAAAAAGGTAGGAATGTAAAAGATACTTTGTGTTTCTACAGCATGAATTACAAGTAAAGATAAATGGAAAAATTAGATTTGACGTTGAATGAGATGAAAATGCAAGCAATAGAGGTAAATCAATCTATCGCCGTTATCCATCTGCATGCACTACTTTGTCACTGCGATGACAAAGTAGTGCAGGGCCCTCAGTGCTAAAATAAATTTGATTTACTTTAATATACATTTGAAATGACATATCAAAAATACAATGTATGGTTTTTTTTAATGTCGCCAGGAATAAATAGAACAAAATATTATTTTTTTTATATTTGCTAATTGTAAAACTTAAACTACAAAACTTTAAAAGCTGTATTGTACTTTTTTTGGTGATAATTTTGATGATTTTAACAGGTGCACCACAACATTATAACTAGAATATCTAGACTTATAGACCCAGAGGACAGAGATGAATCTAATTCTTTTTAATATGGTTGACTTTCTCAATAGGCCAATCAATAGATTAAATCAGTGATTTTGTGACAAAGATACTAGTAGCAAACGGACTCTTATACAAAAAAAACGCATTTTTTAGTTTTTTGCTTATAAAACCTAAACTAATAAAGCAATTTGAATGCTACAAAGAGACAATTTGTAGAGAATCGAAATACAAGTTCAAAATTATTTAACCTCTTAAAACCTCTTTACAAAAAAGTTTACGCTCTTGTCAATTTGTATTATATTATGCAACTAAATTCAGCTGTGACTGACAAATGACAAAATGACATAGGTAGTTAAAATAAATTTTCACTTCTGTTTCTAGAACTGGAATTACAATTAAATTCATTGAACTAAACAAATTTAAAATAGTAATAATTTAGCTAAAGTTCCTAGAATCTTCAGACTTTAAATTTTTCTAACGTTCAGTGACATCCAGTACTTAGTTATGATTACAATGTTAAAATTACAGTTTTTAAGGATGAAGGCTTGTTGGCTGTATGCGTCCCGATATTTTCATTCATTTCCAACGAAATACAAAATGAGAAACGATTTCGGGTGGTTTGTAGATTAATTTTTTGAAATAGGAATTCCTCTCACACTTTTTTTAACCGCAGGAACATGTATTATAAAATAAGCTTTTTTCGGATAATTGGCAACTCTGCTTATGGTAAAAAATGAAATGGTCGATAGTACATAAACTTGCAAAGTTTAATTCAATTTCAAAGTTCACTTTTTTAAAACTTTTTACTTGCAGAATCCACCATTTCATTTTTTATCATCAGTTTTGGGACACCATGTATACTCACTATAAGAATACCATGTTCAATGAATGAACTTGTTCATAGAAATTCATAAATAAATATTCCATCAAACTGTCAGACAGGTTTGAATTTGATCACAAAACAACTAACTGCCTTTTTTTGTAGTGTGACCTCTATTAAATAAAGTAATTAAAATAGGACCTGATTTCAATTCATGATGGTGTCGCATTATTATCCTAGATATGACAAATAACAAACAATCCGGTAATTCTCATGTTTTTTTAATCCGGTATTTCATGATTTATACATTTTTATGCATTTTATTATGCAATGGTAAATATAAAGTTTTCACGTATTAGCATTGTCAACAGAGTTTTATCCAGTTCCTACAACTTTCATTTGTTCATGTTCTAGAGTTACCTAAACGGTTAACGTTGTATAGGTAAGCAGTGGCGTACTCATTGAACGAAATAAGCGTTTGGTTGGTCTCTCAACAACACAGGGCCCTCAAAATGTAATTAAAAACTTGCGGAGTTGCATTTGCTTCCGCTAAAAGCACATAAGAAAGTTTTGCCAAGATAATCTGTATTATAATAGCAACTTTTCTTATTAGAATTACAATATTATGTCAAGCTTAACAAGATTCTTTACTAGAACAGATGAATAGGTATTTTTTTCTAGCATTTTTTCCATTGAAGGTAAGAAATGAGCACGGCCCACCCCAGAAAAATGATCTAATAGTATCATCTTTGTCATATCGGTAAGTCGCTGATTTCGGTTTTTTTTACAGGTTCCCATAGAACTTGCAGGCCTGGGCTCACCCCAAGCAAAAATTGTAGGTACACCCATGGTATCTATACGTAGTGCCAGTGTTCATAAGTTATCAACTTTGATTTCTAATTTTTGTTTTATATTTGAAAAATTAAAAAAAAGCGAGGAAAAAACTTTTGCTAGGGTAACAATTGTACTATAGTTGCCATAATAAAAAGAACGTCTTGCAACAGTACACAAAAAGTTAGCAAAATACTTTTTAACCCCAAATAGACTCTTATAGCAATTTTTTAGGGTTAATCAATTTCTGCTTATGGTTAAATGATATTTTCCCCAGTGCATTGATATTTTTTTCAGATCTCTTCTGGACAAAAATATTTCTTAAAAAAATAATGTAACGCACCACTGCGTATAAGCGAGATACGTACCTATCTCCAATGGTGTTCATTAGTCAGTTATTAAAACACGAATTTCTCTCACTTGAATAAATACGATAAAAAAAAGTATAGCGGACAGACCCACATTCCAAAGGTGAAGAGCTCTCCAAATAAGATAGTATAGCATTAAATTACTAGAGCGAGTCTACTATCGGTTTCGTCAGTACCGTATTCACCTTTTTTATATAATTTACACGAATACGAATATGTGGAGTGTGGCTGTGATTAATGAAATAATTGTGGATATTGTATGCCATGGGGAATGAACTGATTCAATGAATCCATTTTATTTGTTATTAAAACAAGAATTATTCATTTTATGTTTCCATAAAATATAAGTCATGCGTCTCCTATTCGATAAACATTAATATAACAGAAACAGACCATCTAAAAAGGAAATTATGAAACGTTTGAAGTGTCTACACTTAGAGGTAGTCCAGTCCTAAAACCCAAAGTAAAAATGTAAAGTTTCAACACAAAAGTACCTATTTTGCTTTTATTCCATACAAATTTTAATTTCAATATAGAGGAATCTCATTTCAATAAATTCCGATCATATTTCCATAATATATTAATATTAAATAAAAGTTCTTTTAAAATAGAAAAACGAATCTTTTCGAGAGAAAGACTATTCTGTAAAGATTTAAAAAAATGTGATAGTCAAACTTCGACTTCTAAAATATGAAACATTTTTTAAACACGAAAGTAACAGAAATACTTCAGCGCATCCTTAGTTCTAAATAGAGGCACAATTGTTATCAATATACCTATTTACTTAATTATAATATATTAAAGTGCAAAATTATAATTGGCCTTTTTTAACAAAGCGAAAATTGTAAAAACATCGATTTAATATCATAATTGCTAAAAAAGGGTATATTGCTTCAGAAAATAACTGTTACTATATGTAAATTAATTTAAATACATTTATTTTAATTATTCATAATTTTTCTTTTGTATTAATTTGTCATTTGTTTTGCCTTGTTCGATTTTTAAATATTAAAATATGTGTGTATTAAAATTTTTTTATAATTATTATTCATAAAATGTGCAACTTGTTTGCTCTATTTAAGACTCCAGATGATGTCTCAAAAAAGGGATGAAACGTCGGTATTCACATAACAATGATTTTTTCAATTTTAATTTGCCCAAAATCCCATATGAATATGGTGACCACCTTTTTAAATATTAATAAAAATAAATAAAATATGTGACAAAAAACTTGCCGTCTTTATTTGTACGAAGTTATTATTTAATTGAAAATTAAAAAATGTCAATATAAAACTAAAATGAACTTGGACAACTGTGACGTAATAAGCTATGCCTTAACTGTGGCGTCTGTTGGTAGGAAGCTCAACTAAAATTTCATATTACCGTCCTTTTTCATTTATTTAATAATAAAAAGGGATGAGTCACTTAAATAAGGAGTTTTCTGTAATAACAACATCCATATGTGAGTTAAAAATTTTAAAATCAAATAAAAATGTATATCAGGGGTTTTTGTAGTGAAACTATTACACTGTAGAATAATATTTAATGATAAAACTATAATTTTTTTAAAAACAAATATCCCATTGCTATTAATTTGAATATTAACTCCATAACTGATGTAAATACACACCTGTATAATGGTTGCGTGTACTGCAGCACGTGCTATTCTTTTCTGGGTTATTATTGCTTTATTATGTGACTTTAAAGATACATTCAACTCGAGTTTAATTGATGTAGACTGGTAATATTAACGAGTGAACTATTACCCTCATTTATTCGATAATGATGGTCCCTTTAGTAGTAGAAATGACACTAACTCTATAATTGATGAATTATAGAATGATCTATTGTCATTTTCTCATGTACTATATCTTCATCTAAATGATGTCAGTAGGAAAAACAATGTACCTACTATGTAAATGTAACAGACACATATACGTTTAGTGATGTTGTTATCTTAAATTGTAATAAATAATTATCTTTGGAGTTTATGTTATCTTTCATTTCAAGTCAAGTAAAAAGTTTCTAATGTGCTACTGTCTATTGGAAAATGTTAATCCCCTAGAAATTTAATTTAAGGCGAAACCATTTATGAAAGGTATCATTAAGAATATAAAAGTATATAGTAGACCTCTACTAATGTGAATTTCACTTTTATAGCCGTTTTCATTTTTTAATTTTTATGGTATACCATGCTATAAATCAATACAATAATTTTACTTTTACACATTATAATGCTGATACCTACTGCGAAATTGCTGAGAACTTGGTAGATATTTTAATCCATTATCTTAATGTTCTCAATATTTTTATCATGTTCATGTTAGGTGCTAGTAGAAAACTTAATACCATTTTGCTTTTCATTCTTTTTCTAAGTATTAAACAAATATTTAAATTTATATTTAAATTTTTTATAGATTTTGTCCCAAAAGAAAGCGTAAAACTGTTGTCATTTCTGTGGAAATAAATATTTTCATGTAAATTTGATTATTTTCGTAGACAGATGAATACAATTTTTTCAAATATTTATAAAAAAAATAGCAAAATCATCGAAATTGTACCTACATAAGAAACAATTTATTTGTATCACAGAAGTAATTATATAAACAATAGATGAATATTTTCATTATTTATTTTTTCTTATAACCTCTGAATAGAATAATGAAAATAAAAGAATATAGGTTATTTAAAAAAATGCTGGTACTTATTTTCGAAAATTTTGTATGGTTAGGTTGTTTTATATTATTACAAAATTTATTATAAAATTGTTTTTAAAATACGAATATTTCTACCTACAGGGTAGTTCATTAATTGTTAAAGTACGATTGCTCTGAAGTTCAAATAGAAGTTGGAGAGGATCAAATATATTATATTTTAAATTTATCGCTAAATATACAGACTATTGTATGCAAATTGCCATAAAATTCTTGGTATGGTGATGTAAACAGTTTTAAATTCGATTGTTAAATTATAAAGCTTCTTAAATTTTGCAAAAAAAAACTGGTCTTTTAATATTTATAATAATAAATTAGCGAGTGATAATAGTTAGAACCAAAATATTTAATATTTTGAAAGACATCGTTAACTTACACTCCAGAGCCGTTAGACATTGGTTACTTTATACGACGTATTTTCTACAGGCATGCCAATGTTACAAATATCAAACATTATCATCTCCGATTTATCAACACTTTGTACTCCTACATTTATACATTTTTTATTGACTTTAACTTTTAACAATGTATTTCTATAGTTGTTTTCTGTAATTGAGGAAAGATATTTCATATTTCATAAAATTTTTTGTAAATGGCAATAATAACAACTAATATATTGTGTCGGCTATATAGTCATTCCGAAGTCAGTTGAACATGCAAAAAAACGCCTGGCAATAAAATTTAATGACTTTCATAGGCGTCCCTAAAAAAGTTTGTTAATTGTAAAAAATTATAATAATTTGTATATAATGTGTAGAAAATTTCTATTATATGTTCATTTGGCCAACAACATATTTTAATTATTTATGTCCTCAAACAATTTTATTATATTGATGGTAAATTGCGTTTTGTTCCGTTTCAAAAGGTCTCCAAAATGCCACGTTGTAATAATATTATTTCTCCCTTCCCCAATTGTAATATAAATGATTGATAGAAGGTGCATATAAACATTTAAAATTCCCTAAATCACACCAAATTCCGCATTGCTGCACTGCACTGCTGGGCAATTTGTCAACCACATGTCAAAAGCTGAGATTTATTGCCCAGTAGCCTAATGCAATTGTGTTAGATTTCGTTTGCCCGCGCTCGCATTCTTCAACTGGGCGTATACATTTCTACCACCTCCACGTGACCAGACCTGTATATGGGTATGGGTATGGTTAAATAAATATGGGAAAAAGTTTTTCAAATATTTCAATGCCGAGTTGCTGCGTCAGAGACCGAACCTGGTACATACCGTCAACGTCTTAGTTTTTCAATTGATATCAGAAAGACTATACTAATAGATCACCCTGTATATAAATCTAGATAGATCTCGAATAGTTTCTCACATTCCATCACAATTTGTGTTATACATACAGGGCTGGAAAATCCACATGGTCCATCTGTCTTTACATGAGAGCGACAAAGTAAAGAAATCCGTGCGATAGACAAGGATGGCTATAGTGAAGACGTTTCATAATCTGAATAGTCTCCGCCCGTTTCGGGTTAGAAGTGAGAGTGACTATTCACATTATGACACGTCTTCAATGTAACCATCCTTGTCTATCGCACGGATTTCTATGACTTACTTTATCGCTCTCACGTAACGGCCGATGTACCATGGGGACTTTCCGAACCTGTATATAATATATTCCAAAAACTTTAAAATAGGATGTCAAACGGAAACAAAAAATAGAAAATGCCACTTCAAGAAAAAGTCTTCTATAGACATGGACCCGAAAAAATATACTTATAATAAAAGTGCACTGCCAAAAACATATGTTTGATACAACTAAAATGACATCACTTCAAAATAAAATGGCACAGTTCTTTAGGTGAATTGTATTAAAATTAGTGGTGATATCCTTTGATGACATAATTAAAGGTATTTTGAAACTTGAATGAATACAAAATTGGATCTGAAAAGAATGCGTTCTAGCAATGTTTTTATCGTTTTTTTTTTCACTTTTGTTATTTATTATTTTATATAAATACCAGAAATTATTACAAAATTTTCAAAGCAATCCTGTAATTATTATGTAAATACGTGTATTGCCAGCACAACATTATTAATACTTACTAAACAACAGTACCTATTTTTTGTGTCTCTATATTATCTATTCAATTCAATTACTTTATTTTACAAAAATAATCCTATAAAAAAAAAACTAAAAAAGTGACGGATTTGAATTTAAAAATAATGTTATATGACCTGTATTTTTTTTAAGAATCTTAGCGAAAATCTATCTACGTAACCACTAGTACAATTTTTCAGAACGTTCACTCAATATAGTTATCAGGAAATTGAAATCGATTGACGCCCAGATGTTTCTCCTCTCGCGTTTTCCATTTATAAATAAAAAAGTAAAGATTTTCTTACGGGTTAACCGATACGAAAGTGACATATTTTGTCTTAAACGAAAATGAAAACATCAAATTTATGATTTTCTTAAATAAAACACTAACTTAATTTCAAGGGAACGTGTTTTGAACATATTTAAAATTATTTAAAAAGTTAAAAACAATTTTTAATACAATACCTGTATTGCTATGTGGAAAAAATATTACGATTTGAATTGAACTGAATAAAGAAAGTAGTATGCAAGTAAAAAAAAATCGAGATGAAATATTCCAGATGAATGAATTTCAAATCGAGATCGTTATTCTTTCACAAAAAACGACACTTTCACCTCTTGTTGCAAAATATTCCATTAAATATTTTTTGATATTTTGTTATGACAGAAAGTAGAAAGAAAATTGGATGGAGCTATTTTGAAAATTTGGTAAAACAAGCCTTCTTGGCGAGCAGATTTCGTCAACATAAATGTAAAAAGTTGATACTTGAGATATTTAAGATGTGATCTATTAGCCTATATAATTAATCCTTTTTTGTAATGATATCCAATAGCACCTTAGCACAGTTCCAAATATGAGCAAACTTATGGCCGAAGAATAGTTCAAGTTCAGATTTTTTTTGTATATAAGTATATAGAAATGGCTTTGCTTTCTGTAACTTGCTTATTCTAATATGGAGCTCCATTAAGGAGAAATATGTCACAATTGTTGTTAGAGGAATTTAGACAATTTACATGATCTACACATTTACTTCCTAACAATCCTTCAATAATGATTCCAACACCTTCTAAATGATTACAAGTATTGGAACACAATTTAGGAAAAAATCCGTTTTTACCCATATTGGCTAGTTTTCACCCAAATAGTGGATTTCTGAGAAATGTCGAGGTCATGGATAAATTTTACTATTGGCATCCAGGTCAGCGTTTCAAAATACCTCGAAAATGATAGGTCTGTTCCAACAAGAGTCAGGGATTGGTTCCCAACCGTTCGAAATGTTTGGCCAGCTAAATTCTAAATGTGTCTTCAGTGAATATATCGCAAGAATTAGTTGAATGCACATTTCTGACGGTTCGGAACCAATCCCTGACTCTTGTTGGAACAGACCTGAGATATTTGGACAAAATTTGGGAAAACAGTTTAACCTAAAAATTTCACTTTTCTCCAAAATTTATCGTATTGACCGCATCAAATTCCTTCGGAAATGATATTTGGCTCTCTTGTTTTTTTTGTGGGTGTGTAATTGTTAACGATGTAACACAGTTAATTTTTTTGAATTGTAATAAATATAATAACAGTCTTTTCTGCGCTAATAACCGAATATCAGAAGATCGTTTACATTATAAAAGTTTTTTATATAACTCAGGGTTCGTATATTTTTTTCAAAGTCAGTGTTAATTTTTGGCCTATATCAAAAATTCTCCCAGGAAAGCTCTTAAAATTTTATTAGTCCACAAATAAATAAGTTTATGTATACTTCTCTACTAAAAATATACGTAGGTATCATGATAATATGTAATTATTATTACATCAGTTGAAATAAAATCAATTGAAATTAAGTAAAAAATTAGTAATGCATTTAATATCATTTGAAAATACTCCTTCCACTTTCATTTAAAAAATATCACTAAAATATATAATTTTATATACCTATAATTTAATTTTACACTACCTCTTAAAAAAGAAAGGTTCAAAAGAAAATAGCAAATGTAACTTCTTTGAAAATGCACCATATAAAAACATTTAAAGCTATGGACTAATTCATAATCGAAGATAAGAATATACCAGAAATGTAGCTTCAATGACTGAATTGCAATTCTTAACTACAATAAGCAAATAAAGGTATAGCAAGTACCATTTAGATACACACCTGAACAGCAAGAATATATCCGCAACGGTTCAATCGCCAGTCAGCACAAACCTTCAACGCCACCCAGTGAACCTCTCCGTGACACTGAAATTACTACAATGTGGTATCAAGATGTCCTAAATTCGACAATGCGTTGTTTTCACTTGCATCTCATTCATTATTTATCACCACGCGAACAGTTATCGGAACAGTTTAACATAATTTTCGACTTTGACAGCACGGAAAAACTATTTGGACGATACTGGAGTGTCGGTGCCATCATCGTCGCCACATACTCACACCACTCTCTTCAGGTCTTTGACTAAACGGCGACGTAGTGTGGTTTCGGTATTCCCTGTTTCGGTAAAAGTAAATAGTCGGATTGTTTTCTTCGGATGGCCTGCTTTTGTAGCAGAACGCAGCGAGTGACTCCGTCGATGATTAACTTTGCAAGTGTTTATCTTCTATGATGGAGTGGTTCAGCGAAATTTTATCCTCCAGGCTATCAATGATAGCGTGTAGCAGGTCCAGTTGTAGCCAAAATGCTCTAGGGAAATTTTTTGTTTAGGATTCATACGACAATATTTGAGGCATTTATTCAATTTTCCAATAAAATCTTCAAGCTGTAAACATAACATTAAGCATTTGCTTAAATCTACAGATAAATGGCTGTTATATTTTGAAAGTCGGAATGCTTGTGTTATATTATGAAATTAAAATGAACTTTGTAACCTTTGCAACTCTTCTGGAAATCTTCCCGGGTAAAATTAATAAACTCAAAATGCACTTACAGTTATACTTTTGTGATATGGATTTGGACATAAATTAATGCCGCCAAATAATTTTACCAAACTGTAACAGAATGTATGTTGATACAACTAATAGAATTATTACTGAAATATTCTGTGACAAGTTACTACGCCTTTTCCAAATATATTTCGGAAACATTCAATTTATTTCAGTAACTATCATTTCAGTTTCATCTTAAATAATTTATATATTCATTATATAAATTATATATAATAAATTAAATTAATTTAATTTCATAGTATATTAAACAACAAGTTTAGAAAAGCAAAGTTTTACTTAGCTTTAGCTACCTATATGAGTTTAGTAAAACTGTTTTTCTTTTGAGATGTGTCTATTTTTTCGCGTTAGTATGTTTGTGTTGGTAGGTAATTATAAACAAATAGATATAAAAGCATTAAAAGTTAGAAATTAAAAAAAATTGACACGGCTTTGTTTATTTATACAGGGTGATTAATTAATAATGGGACAGAGCTTAAGGGCATGTTGCTGATCTCAAAATAGAGCGATTAAGCCAAATATGCATTATCCGAATGTTGCTCCTTTTCGATCTACAGGGTGTTAAAGTTGAAAAAATATTTTCGATTTTTTTAAATATCTTGAGCATCTTTGAACGGCTTGTCTTGAAAGTTTGTACACCTATGTTTTCTGAGGTGGTAATTACGGAAATGGTAACTATTTTGCAATCACATTTAGGATGCGCTAGTTGTAGTGTTCCGTCGGAGTAAACATATGTCAAACTTTTTTGTCCTTCAAAAATCTGAATTTCCAATAAGAAATTATTAAACTACATTCAATTCTAAATAAAATAGATATACCTGTTAAAAATCGATAAACTTAACCGTTTTCGAAATAAGAACGATTTACTATTTCTTTACAAAATTTCTTTACTTTTCAATACAAAAAAAAAACAGTGTATCTGAAGGTGTATATCGAGATCATCGAGGAAAGCATCGTTAGTAAGTTGAAAATTTCAAAAAGTATATATCATCAGCAAGAATTACTGGCACTTCATAAGATCATTCAAGAATGCAGATACAGAATCATAACAGTTTTCGGGAAGAACAAGTATAATTGAATAAATTTCGTGCTACTAACTTTTCAAATTTGAGTAATTGCACCTATATTTAATATACAGTGTGTCCCAGAATCGTATTTTACTTTGTATTGCGTTTTCACAAAAACGCTAAAACGCGTCAATTAGTAAATAGGAATTGTCGTTTTGCGCTGTTTCATAAACCTATGACGTCATCGACATTTTTTTTTAAATAGCACTACCTAATTTTCTAAGCATAAATGGATCTCCCTTTTGAAAATGCGTCGATATAGGGTTTGGCTTACGTTACTTTGACAAGTGCGAAAAAAAGCAAACGATTGGAATAGACATGGTTTAAAATAACAACAAAAGTAGGTAGTAGGTAGTAACTGATGCGAGAACAGTGCCACAGTCAAACTGTTTTTTTATTAACAGTGACAGTATTATATAGTAAAGTGACATTTTGATATGGTAAAATGCCACCTTAGTAAACGATTTTGAATTTAGTAAAATTGCATATTAGTCAAAATACGAAAAAATATGTTATTTCGCGGTTTAGGTTTTCGGGACACATCAATTGTGTTTCAGTTATTACTGTGTAGTTATTAGACTGTTTATTAGTATTACTTTTGAAACCCATTTTGAAGTATGTAATATTATAAGTATTTCTGTGAATATTAAATGTGAACTAGTAGAATTTTATTCAAATAAAAAATATCCATCCATATATTCAACATATTTGTTTGTTTTGGTTCTGAAATTGAGAACTGTATGAAACTAATTCATAATCGACGCAAAATTTTATGCGCATATTCTGAATTAATTCAGATCACCTCAAAATCGAAAACGCCAATCAGTCGCCATTTTTCGCTTATATTTGATTTATTTTGATGATGCAGTAATTTTTCTAATATTAAAATCCGTTGTAAGGACTTCTTCATCGGCTAATAATCCACTACACGTATAGATTCCTAAATTCTTAAAATATTTCTTAGAGCGGATGTAAAATTATATAAATTTTTTCAGTAGGTATCTTATCTTTAAAATAGAATCAATATTGACATTATTAAGAAATTATAACTCCCTAATTTTTAAACTGTTCCTTTTGTCAGGACAGATCATAAAAGCGCATAATAATATGCAAAAATTGAGAATTCCTAACTCAGAACATGCTCTTATGCAAGAACTGTTGCAAACTGATTATGAAAAAAACGAAAATATGGGATTTATCTTATTAGAAGTAGTTCTGAAAAAACTAAACTGTATTTACCTACGCATGAGCAGATTGTTATGGAACTTGTTAAAGTACCTACCAACTAAAACAAAGTTATAGATTATTTGTATCCGTTTCCAGAAAACAACACGCATGTCTATGTTTAAAGGTGAATCCATCACAGTCGCAGGTCATTCAACTCTCAGTGTCAAATTTTAACATATTCCAACTTGTGCAATTATGTACAATTTTTAGCGTTACCTACTAGAAGCACTTACTGAAAATTGTTCAGATGGTACTACCTAGCAGGAGCTAGAAAAATATTATGCATATTGTGGGGGACTTACTATTTCTTCTTGTTATAATATACTCGCTTCAAATTAAATAATAATATCTTCTTCAAAGGTTTATTTTATAGAAGTACAGTTTAATGTTAAATGGCTTTTTGTATATGTAACATGTATTTACAGATATTTATTTTTATATATTTTATTTATATCATTTCCTTAACTACCATAATATACCTACGCGCCCTCCTGATCTATTTCTTTAGGCTTCTAGGCGTAGCTCTTGAAGTAAGTGGATGAAGCTGCCACTAGTGCCACTACATATACCCCCTCTCTCAATAAAAAAATAATAGTACCTAGTTACTTACTTATAATATTTATTGCAAAAGACACTCTTTTTTTGTTACTTTCTTTAACTTTAACATTTTCGTTAGTGTTTTCTATATTATCTGATAATATGATTGCTGGTTTGACTCTGTCAATGCTAACAGTTAACCCTCTACCAGTTTTAAAAATATTTTTTTTTTTTGATAACGCTTTAAAACCTTGTAAGGACCTTCAAAAATGGGTGACAAACAAGACTTTCTATTTTCAGATTTTATAAAAATGTAATCACATGTATCTAAATTCGATGAAACAAATGGTTTTTCTTTAGTGTGATGTTTGCTTGTCGTTGGTCTAAGGTTAGCAAATGTTTCTCGTAAACCAACTAATAAAGAAGAATTGTCAATGGTATTATGGGATTCAGTAAAAAAATCGCCAGGGAGGCGTAATGGCTGACCATATACTAATTCTGCAGATGAACAATCTAAATCACTCTTAATAGCAGCTCGTATACCTAATAAAATAATTGGTAATACATTTTGCCAACGATTATTATTATTATTAGTTTTTGTTATTAACGCAGTTTTGAATGTTCTATGAAATCTTTCGACCATCCCATTACTTTGTGGATGATAGCTTGTTGTGTGTATTTTATCTGTACCTATGTATTTCGTAAATTCTGTAAATAAAGCTGATTCGAATTGTCTACCCTGGTCTGTGGTTACGGTATATGGTATACCAAATCTACATATATATTGAAAAAATAATGTTTTAGCTATTGTTTCTGATGAAATATTGGACTAACTACAATGTTCTGAAGGTGGAAGTGGTCCTACTATGTCTATATGTATGTGTTCAAATCTTCCTTTAGGTATTTCGAATGATCCGATAGGAGTTTTTGTATATCTATGTATCTTAGCAGATTGACAATCTACACAAGATTTAGTCCATAGAATTATATCTTTGTTCATTCGTGGCCGAAAATATATTGAGTTAATCATTTTCTTCGTTGCACGAATGCCCGGATGTGAAATTTTATGTAATCTGTTAAATATTTGTAATCTAAAATTTTTTGGAATATAAATTCGTTTATTTTTTGTTACTTCACACCAAAGTATGTTATTTGAAAATTCAATTTCATGTTGTAATAGTTTATGTTTAGTGCTATTGTTGTTTTGTGTCTTTAGTAAGTCTGTTAAGTGTTGACTCTTTATCATGCTCTTGCGCATGTTGTATTTGTTCTAAATTTACTTCGAAATTATTAATCATGTTAACTATGTTTTCATTTACTCTAGAAAGACTATCAGCAATAATGTTATATTTTCCTTTTATGTGTCTGATAACTGATGTGAATTGAGTAATAAATTCTAAATATCGAAATTGTCTTGGACTTTTCTCTGTTTTTGAAGTCAAAATGTTAATAAGAGGTTTATGATCTGTAAAAACAATGACTTCTCTTCCTTCTATTAAATATTTAAAATGT